ATGCAGTGGCGAAGCAGGTGGGGCACCGCATTCGTTGCCATGTGGTTCTCCGTGCAATATATGCATGCGTGAGAGGCATCTTTGACCAGCACAGCATTTGTGTGCTGGTCAAAAGCCTCTCCCGCCGGATTCGCATTTACACGGAACACCGCATTCTGCTTTCAATTGCAACCGCTAGGGGAAAAGGTACACACTACAGACAAGTGTCGTGTCGTCACTCAAGTATCCCTCCAGAAATACCCACTCCCTCTCACGAATCGTGTGTGCCGTCAGTTTGTGTGAGCACAGCAGCTAGTAGTGGGGCCGCCAAACGCAACGCCCCCTTGTATGTATAAGAAAGACCATTGATCTGTATACGTATGTATATGTGTATGTATGTATGTATATGCATATGTATGTGTGTATACATGCACAATATGTATATAAAACACTCCCCCACATAAGGGCACACGCACACGTGCACACACACGTTCATCGAGGTTCGCGTATCCCCCAACTGTTGGCGGATCGCTTACAAACATACACACACAGAGAGAGAGAGAGAGAGAGCGAGAGAGCGAGAGAGAGAGAGATTCGACTGTCTAAGGGGATGAGAGCAAAAATCTCTCCTCCAGCACCATCGCCGCCATCCTTATTCAACATCATCAACCGCACAGTAACACATAAAGTCGGTCACTGGCAACTCCACCAATCGCCTCACAGCACAGTCAGCACCTCTGCACACACACAACCACACACAATGGCGAGTGCGTGTTGCGTGCCTGCCTGCCTGTCTGCCTGTGTGTCTGTCTGACCGATTTCGCTGCAGTAGAAGTAGGGTCCGCCTCCCGGCATGACGGCTCTGACGGGCTCGCCCTGGTCGGTGGTGTCGTCCTTGCAGCTCCCCAGCCACGCGCCGCCCATCATGTACCGGGCGATGTTGGGAAACCCCCAAGTGTCCGTCCGGGCGTGCTGCCGCCACATCGTGGGGCTGGACGGGACGCCCTCAGTGTCCCTGCCCGGCCTGAATCACACGCAGACAGAGCGATTGATATTGTCACCGTACACATGAGTCGAGTGTGTGGATGGGGACCTGAAAATGGCGTATGCGGTTCTTGATTCGTCGGCCGGGTCGATCATGAGTCCGTCCGAGTCGCACTGCTGGTATGGGTGTCGCTGGCAGAGCATGCGGCAGGGGTTGATGAGGGGGTAGTCGTGCCAGCGCCACAGCCACAGGCGACCCGCGCAGAAACACAGCTTCCCGTACTTCTGCGGATCCACTGCAAGCGACACGCGGCCCTCTGTGCCTGCATCAATGCACCATATCACACACATGCTCACAAACACCCTCCTACCCTGAACTCCCACACGTACCTGCTATGGCGATTCTGCGTTCGTCTCCCTTGATGGTGAGTTTGCCGGTGAAAGGGCGTGCGGCCGATCCCCTCAGTTTGAACATGTCGCAGCACCCCCACTGCACCAGATACGATGAGGGGTCGCTCGGCAGCTCGAACCGCTCGCTCGTGAAGGCCCCCACGATCTCCTCCTTGCAACGCACCAGAAACACCAGCCGGGCCTGACCGTTGATCCGCGCCACGCAGTCGTCGTACTTCCACCCGTCACGCGACGCCCGGTACAGCAGCCGGAATTCGCGCACCTGGATGTCATCCGTCTCTATCCACTGCCGCAGCCGCATGGCGTCCTTGAGCGTCACCACGAGCGAGCTGCCGTCCTGCAGAGGGGGCGGGGCGCGGACCACGTCAGGCCGCAGGAGGTCGTACATTTCCAGGCACTCCTGGAAGGCTTGCAGCTCGCTGTCACTCACGGCGGGCAGCTCGACGCCGCCATGGCCGCGGGACGCGACGCGGTGCTTGGTGCGTGGGGGTGTGTGGGTGGTGGGGGTGGGGGTGGCTGTGGCGCATGCAGCCCTGCAGCCTTCGACGGCGGCAGAGGTCGATCATCTGCCGGACTCGGGACGGCGGGACATCCACGATCGGGCCATGCCACCTGATGGGAAGACACACAGACCCACACACATGCGCTGGTTATGTGATGGCTCTCTGGCATTTGGTGTCTAGCATCTGACCTGCAGAATCGGTTGAGCAGGAGTGTGGGCAGTCCTCTGTTGTCCCACCCGACCCCCTCGATGGTGGCCAGTGTGGTCGACACACGCACACTCACTCTCTCGTTGCCGCCGCTCGCTGACGACGAGGCCGTCACGTCCACCGACACCACCTCGTCACTGCGCGTCACGCCTTGCCACACGCTGCCCTGCCTGCTGCCGCTGCTGCCGTTGCTGGTGCTTGCGGTGGCCGGTTCGTTGTCGGCGATACCTTTTGCCACCACCCACTCGTGCAGGAACGGCTGCAGCGCCTCGGCAATGTCCCGATGTGACAGCCGAGAGGACGGCGAGTAGCACACGTCGGGTGGTGTGGTGTGGGTGCTGGTTGTGGCGGGCGGTGGCTCGAGCGCTGCAGTCGGCTTGCTGGTGTCTGCAGTTGCTGCCTTGTCAGCATCGAGTGATGGGTGAGAGTGTGCGCGGGGAAGCAGCCGTGTGGCTTCCCACGACCATGGCTTGAGGCAGAGGTCGAAGTAGAATGTCATGGCGGGGTTGTCGCTGTGGGGTGGAGGGGGGAGGGGGCGGCAGTGCAGCTCGACGCCGGCACCGTGGTACCGACGCAACTCTTCCAGCATGATCTGAAACGCCTGCAACCACACACACGCAGAGATCAGGTGGCTGAGTGTCCATCTGTCCATCTTTCTACTTCTCCCATTCGCGCGTACCTCATGGTCGATGTCGAGGAACATCAGCTCCTCCCCCGTCCGCTCATCAGGCACCCTCAGGAAGTGCCGGTCATAGCGGCCCGAGAAGAGAAACATGAAGAGCGACCCCTGCACCGCCCGCAGCACATCTCGCCGCACATCATACCGCACCCCAGATACGTTGAGGCGCAGAATGTCGGCTGCAGAGCGGGCCCCGTCCGCTGCAGGCGATGCCGTTGGGGAGCCGCTGCTGCTGCTGCTCTGGCCCGCTGACGGCATCACGAGGCCGTGCCGGTCCTCCGCCGTAGGCATCGCAGACCACGGCAGAGGCCTCACTGAGACAGATGTTTGCAGGTGACGGGCAGATGCATTTGCAGGATGGTTTGGGGAGGTTGTTTGGGGCTTGGCAAACAACGGCAAAACCCAAGTCGCATCCGTCGCGAGCTTGAGCTCGCAAAGGGCCCCCACGCTACCCCCAGTCTCACAGATGCAGCCCGCTTGACGTGCAGTGCTTGAGGGATTCGAGTGCTGGTGAACGATTATGGCGGTGCTGAGGCCGGCGGTCGCGGCGTTCTTTCTTCTCCTGGTTGCGGCTCCGTCATTTCGCTGCGGTCCCGATGAGAAGGGGGAGAAGGCGAGGCCAAATAGTCCGCTCGGTGAAATCGTGGACCTGCTCTTCCCACCACTACATGCCGCTGGACAGGCGGCGGAAACGCTGCTGGAAACGGCGGGCAACTTGCTCGGCGGAGGTTTCCTTACGCCGGAGGTGAGCGACTACATGTTTCCTTCTCTGCGGCCTCCCATGGGACCGTTCAGCCCGCTCGAGGCCGCAGAGAGCCTGCAGGGCAAGCTGCAGGCGCTCACAAGGCTCGGACTTGGTACGTACAGACCGACACAAGGGCAGACAAACGGTGAATGGGTGTCGATCGTTTGTTTGTTCGTGTGTTGTGTTATGTCGTTCAGCCGAGTTCACCGACAGGGTGCCCCGTGCCTTCTGGGAGGATGTGTTCAGTATGCCCAGTGTGGTGCTCGCCAATACCCTCGACGTCGGGCTCTTGCAATACGTCAAGGAAATCCCCACCCTCATGTGCATCGCGCTGCTGGCGCCGAACATTCTCACATACGAGCCACCAATTCAGAACGCCCACACCCTGATGGTGACTGTGGCCATCTTCCACGCCGTGGCGACCTTCACTGACGATTGGCACGTCTTCTTTGGCCCCGATCGCCGCGTGCCGAAACACATGCGGACCCACCACAACCGCCAGGAGGCTGGCGTCCATGCGTGTTACGAATTCCAGAGGATCCTCGTACCTCGAGCAGGTCAGCAGAAGCGCGAGCACCTCACTGATCGGTCGTGGGATTGATCGGGTGGCATGCGAATGTACAGCTGAGGCTTTTAAGCAAGTGATGCCGCTGCTGGGCTACAATCCGTTGAACACGGAGGCCGACGAGGAGACGGCTGCAGGCCTGGGTAACCTGGTGGGGAGGGAGACTGTAGAGTGGTTCAACGACGACGGGTACAACAGGGACGGCACCATGCTGCACGAGCACAATGGCCTGCCTTATGAGGACTGGACCGGTTACAAGCCTGTAAACGACCCATACGAGCTCGTGTATCCCACCTACTGGCAGCCACTCATTGAGGAACAGGTACACAAACACACACGAGTTGTCCATCGGATGGATGTATCGGCACCGCTCGGATCGATGCGTCTCTATGCATGTCTCTCCAACCCTCCATCCCTCCCTCCCTCCCTACACACAGGGGGTCGGCGGTTCTGTCACGCGCTATGGCTACAATGTGGTGCAGCAACACATCACCCCTCAGGCGGGCAGAGTGCGGCCCTTCTTCCTGACGCAGCAACAGGTCGACATCAGGAGGTCGCCGCCGATTTTCAACTGCGTCCACGACACGCCACACAAGAGGGACCCGGGCCACCAGGGGGAAGCGCCAAAGGGTGATGACACTTCGTGTGTGGATTTGCTCAAGGAGAGGGCCTGGAAGGTCATCGAAGAATCGCTCGAGCTCGACGGTCGGTGGCCGGGCGGTGGATGTGATTGATTCATGGAGGGGCAGACACGCATGACTGACGCGTGTGTCTTGTGTGTGGGCGGTCTGTTAGAGAAGAAGAAGGCGATCGGAGAGTTTTTTGATAACAAGGTGAGAGTGAGCGAAATATGTACAATATGCCTGAATCGGTGTACATGTATGTGCATATCGACTTTGCGTCTATCTGTCTCGCTCGCTTAGCTGTATTCCCTCGGCCCGATACTCCTCCAGCTCATCAAGGTGAGCACAGCGCACCGGCAAATGAACAGGCCCAACACATACAAACCATTCTACGTTCCGGTGTTGTGTGTGTGTGTGTGTGTGTGTCATGTCTGTCAGCCGTTGGACATGACCTTTGAAGAGTTCACGGCCATCGACTTGGGCTACGTCGGGCTGCTGTACGACGCCACCATTGTGGCCTGGAAGGAGAAGATCTTCCACGAAGCCGTCAGACCGCAGTCCTTCATCCAACACTATTTTCACCACGAAATGTACAAACGTACCCACGTGGATGGATGGACACACACACATGGATGGATGGACAGACACACATGGATGGATGCCTGTGTGTGTGGTTGTCAGATTTTCCACGTACGTGCCAAAGGAGGGCGTCAAGCCGATCATGGGGAGTGACTGGAAGTCCTACTTGAGGACAATGCCACACACAGGTGAGACCCTCTTGTCCTTATGTCTCCCTTGCCTCCCTCGATCGCCGTGCACTCATCACTCAATCACCCGTCAGAGTATCCGTCGGCGTCAACGTGCTTGTGCCGTGAGTCGATGGAGTTCGCAAAGATCGCATTTGACGGCTTCGACATCAGCGGCAAGCTGAGGGCATATTTCCCCAAGGGGTCATCCCTCGTCGAGACGGGCATGTCGCCAACGACAGACCTGATCGTCGAGTGAGTAACAACACACACACTCATATGCAGCTGAATGACACATCAAATGGATGGATGGATGGATGGATGGATGCACCTGCCTTCAGGTGGGAGTCGTTTGACCAGATAGCGGCTGTGTGCGCCAAGAGCCGCCTGTGGACTGGCGTACACTTCGAGCCCGCCATTGACCCACAGCTTGGCGGCAAGCTGTGCGACGGCATCGGCGCGATCGTCTTTGAGCGCGTCAAGGAGCACAGCGGCAACACTCTCTTCAAGTACGGGCGGGGCGGAAAAGGGAAATATGCTGGCTGACTGACTGACTGAATGACTGACTTAGACTGGCCACCATCCCAATTGCACGGATGTGTGTGGGTGTCTGATCTTTTGATTCGCTTAACGTGGCGAGGAATGGTTGAGAAATGATAGGCAGGCCCGTGGAGACGGCGGGAGAGTGCGAAATGCGGTCAGGCCGGTTCCAGGGAGGGCCAGTGGCGGGGAAGGGAGGGCACAACTGCACTCATGTACGATGCGGTGCTGACATATACGGATGCGTCTCTCTCTTTCTCTGTGCGCGTGGGTCTTTTGGCCGATTGCTCTCCATTTTTGGGCCCTGCTGACTTAGACAATGAGTGCTGACCTGTACTACAAGTTGTTCTGTCCGCTAGTCTTAAACAAGCAAACGTGGCATTGCTAGCAAAAGGGTCTTGCTGCTTTAAAATGCTTTTCTGTTGGAACTGAGACATGTTGTCGATTCGTATGTCTGAATCATGATGGTGTTGATGCCTCTCACTTAAGCCATGTCCGGAAAAAGATGGCACCACACACCTCCTGCGCCACCCAGCAGCCACCTAGTGAGAGACACACACACGCACACACGAAGACCACAAGAGATAGATCGAAAAAAACAATGCAAGAGGCACATACAGCCACACATAACTCTCTCCCTCACTCACTGCCCCACCACTTGCAGCACCTCTATCTCGTCTGCCATGAAGTAAATCGACCCACCCAATATAGGCCTCAGTGAGACAAATGATTGCGGGCGACGGGCAGATGCATTTGCAGGGTGGTTTGGGGAGCTTGTCTGGGGCTCTCTGTGGCCAAACAACGGCAAAAAACGCGCGAAGGCGCGTAGCTTGAGCTCGCAATTTGAGCCCGCAAAACCCTAACGACGAAAAAATCGGCTCAGGACGCATCTGAAGGCCTAAGTATGGTCGGGAGCTCACTCACGGAAGCTGCTTGTGTCAGACATTCGCAATGCCGCTCTCACACAGAAGTTGCTCAAAGCGTGATCTGGCAAACGCGGCGTCAGATCTGGTGACGATGCTGCTCTTTCTGATGTGTCCTCTTGCCCTGTCCATCAGCAGCCATCAGACAATGAGCTTGCCGGGTCTACTGCAGACGAGAGGTCGGCCTGGCCCAGTGCAGTGTGAGGAGGGCATGATGATCAATGAGCGGGGCGTGCGGCTCTTCACACGAAGGTGCACACACTGTACAGACTAAACAGATGGATGGATGGATGGATGAATGGATGAGTCACTTTATCTGCGCATTTTGTGTGTCATGTAGGTGGCGGCCTCAGGGAAAGGTTCGTGCACAGATGTACCTCATCCACGGCGTCAGCTTCCATTCCGGCTACTTCGGCGAGCTGGCGGCTGCACTAGCGAGTGATGGCGTGGACGTCATGGCGATGGACCTACAGGGCCATGGCAGGAGCGGGGGCACTCGTGTGCACATTGGTCGGTTTCAGCACTATGTCGACGATGTGCGTCGGATGATTGAGCGGCGGCGAGTGGCGGGTGTGCCGGTGTTTGTGTTTGGGGAGTCGATGGGTGCGAGCATCGCTGTCGTGCTGGCCATACAGGAGGAGATGCGGGTTGCCAGGGCGGAGCGACAGCTGTTCTATGACTTCTTCTGGGGCCTCACGTGTTATCCTTACCAGCGTCTGCCGCTGGCCGGTCTCATTCTCAGCGGCACCGCTATTCGAGTGGCCAAGGGCGTGTTCCCACCCAAGTACGGCTGCACGTGTCCACATGCGCCATAAACACACGTTTATCTGTGCGTGCAGGTTGGTGCGGTATCTGCTGCGGATGCTCGCGTTGCTGCTTCCCATGCTACCCGTCGTCCCTCTGGATGTGCCCTCATACGACGAGGCCTTCAGGGTCCCCCAAATGAGAAAGGTCGGCAGACAAGAGCGTGCTGTGTGTAGAACACGAGTGTGCATCTGCCTGTCTGTCTGTCTGTCTGTCTGAGGTCTGCAGATGGTTCGTGCAGGTGGGCAGCTGACGCAGCAGCACGGTTGTGAGCATTTGAATGGACTGCTGGGCTCGTCTGTGTGCGATTTCTATCTTTCTCTCAAGATGGTCTGATCATGCCCTTGCCAAAGGTAGCCAATGGCCGGCCGGTCAGTCACCGGATGTGCACAATTCACATGTCAGTGTGTGTGCTTTCACGTGCTTCCTCAGCTTCGGCTGGGCATGGTGCCGGCCCTCACAGCCGTCCCGCAATACATCGAGAAGAACTTACACCTACTCAAGGCAGGAAGGCACCACACACAGACGACACTCAGCGACACTCCTGCTGTCCACACAACACAGACCCACACATGACATGCAGGTGCCCTTCCTGGCGCTTCACGGCACGGCGGACGAGCGGACGCCCCCCGAGAACGCCCATCTCCTCTACGACAGCTCCCCGCTGCCTCCGGAGATGAAGCGAGTGGTCTTGTATGAGGGTGCGTCCCACCAGCTGCTGCAGGACCTGCCTGAGACTAGAGAACAGGTGATCTCTGACATACGGGAGTGGGTGAGGGGACGGCTGGGGGAGTGACACATGTTGGGATGAGCGTGGTGTACCTGACTCGCTGCCACTCTCTCTGCCCTGTATTGGTGGAGAGGGCGTGCTCTGCAGAGGGTGGCCGATTGGTTGGTCGTTTCGTCTGGGATTTGGTTGGTTTCTTGTACTGTACGTGGTGTTGTCACGTTTGTGCGCGGTGCCATGTTTCCATGTGAGTGGTCGTTGGATGACAAATTGTATATTAGATAGATATCGACTGGTTGATGTCTCTCTTGAAAAATGCTGGTGGGTCGCATGCGAGCCGCACCGAGCATGACACACGAATCCGCACCGCACCGCACCACACCATACCATCCATCCATCCCAATCGTGTCATCCATACACCACCAATGTGTGTGTGACCCCGTGTGTCTGCGTGTCGCTCTGAAATGATCCCTCACGCAAGCAGGGCGCCAACAGAGAGACAGAGGACAAAAAGGCGCCCTCGCGCCGTCGTCATACGTGTGTCCCACCGACCGGAATGTCAGCACCGTGCTGTTGCTCGCGGCCCCCACCGTGCTGGGGTTCTTGACTGGGGGAGTGTGCCCAGACAAGAAAACCTTCAAGGTGGGAAGTCAAAGCTGCAGACGCAGTGCAAAGACGAAGACGGTGGACACCTCATACCAGAGTGCGAGATCCAATCACAGGCAGGTAGAGCACCATTGTTTTAGATATCAGCCAGACAGCCTCATCAATGTGACTGCAGGCTGGCAGACAGTCAACAGAATCGACTGATCCCACAGGACGTGCATGCGCTCCTTCGGCTCATGCACACCTCTTTGCGCACACACACGCAATCCTCGCTTTACACACGGCACACGCGTCTCTCTGTGATGCGTGTGCCACAAAACCTCCCCCGACAGGCACGCAACCCGCCCCTCTCGGGCCCTCTCTGTTGGGAATAATGCACAGCCAATCGAATTCATGACAACACGCAACACGTGGGCCGTCATGCCTCGATGACCGGCTTTTCCGCCTGGCTGGCTGGCTGGCTGGCTGGCTGCACATCGACAACACCACACCACACCGGACCACCAACAGCAGCGGCAATCATACACGAGAGAGCACCCTACAAAGAGGGGGTGGCCCATCCATCCATCCATCCATCATCGTCACCTCAATCACAAGACATTTCACTCGTGTCCATCGATCATGTTCATGCACATGGCCGCATCTGGCCATGTCTGAACACCGTCGAGAGACACCAGTGATATGTCTGTGCCAGTGAGTGCAAGGCAAGAGCGACCCCTCCCTCCCCTCACCAACCAACAAGAAGGCAAAACTGATACGTACATACACCACACCCACGCTTACAGATACATCGAGAATCGATACGCACGGAGTTGAGTTGTGCCTCTGGCCAGCTCGTCATGCGTCATTCGGCAGCAGCCGGTTGTTGTGGTGGTGGCCTTGGCTGGTACAGCTTGGTGAAGAGTTTGCGGAGCTGCTCCACGCACATGAACCGCAGCATGTTGAGGGGCACCTGACGCGCGATGGTCGGGCCAAGACCCTTGTACAACGCACCCACACCCTCGCCAGACACCTGAACCACCCCATCCACACACAAGGCACACAAAGAAAGCATGATACGCGCCTGTCAGGTGTGGGTGTGTGAGTGGTTACCGTCTTAGCGAGGCAGTCGACCGTGCCTCTGTAGGGGTACTGGCCAGTGGTGGGATCGGCTTGCATCTGAGAGACAACACAGGGGCAAACACATGAGCATGCCACGTCTCATGCTATGTGCCCTTCGTCCATGCATTCAAACGCACCTGCATGAGCCTGGTCTTGGCCACGTCGAAGGGGTTTGATGTGACGGACGCCACGAAGCCAGCGACAAGAGAGCTCGACAGATGCACCAACGGGCCGTCCTGAGACACAGCACAACAGCACGCCACACACGATGCGGTTGCAGAGCTTTTATCGCGTTGGTCGGTGAGATTGGTGACCTTGAGTGATGTGTGTTTGAGTATCTCCTCTTTGGTCTGGTCGTAGCACGCCATCTGCGCGGCCGTGACGATCATGGCTCGGTTGACCGTCGGCATGCAGCCCCGCCACAGCGCCACGACGCCCTCCTCACGAGCAACCTACGCACACAAAAACACCCACACACATTTGCCGCGGACAGTCATCAGGCACAGTTGCGCTGTCAGCAGGTCACTGACCTGGTACATGGCTGACGCGGCGTTGGTGTAGTTGCGTCTTAAGTGCTGCGGCAGCTGCCCGTCGGCCTGCATCCTCACCATGACCATGTCGGCAGGGTTGCCCACTGCTGCACCGGCACCGCCGGCCACCAGACCGCACAGGGCCTTCTCGGCGAAGCCCAGCTGGCCGCTCTCGTTGCCGGTGTAGGTCTGCACCAGCTTCTTGGCGACGTCGTAGCTGCCGAACTTGGTGCCGACGAACGTCACCTGTCGCAGCACGTTGCCCGACATGCCCCTGATGGAGCACACAAGACACACACACACGCAAAAGCACAAGCCATCCATGACGCGCGAACACGCACGTGTCTGTTGTCTTTCCTCTTACTTGTACAGCGACATTATGCCTTCCGTCTTGGCGACGTCGACAGCGGTGCCGAGCATGCCCAGCCGCCGGGACGACGAGACGGCCGCCGCACCACCAGCAACGCTACTCGAACCAACTTGACCTGACAACACACACGCATTCACCAAACACGAGGCATGAAGACATCCCTATGCCCTTCCTTCTCTGTCTGTGTGTGTCTCGCCCTCACCGGCTAGTTGCATCCTGACTTTGACGAGGTCTACAGGGTGGGTGACGGCTCCCGCCACCACCGCACCCATCATCCCAGTCACAAACGACAAACCAGCTGGCAGCTTCACCGAACCACCACCACCACCGCCCCCCTTGCCAGCAGCCCCCGGTAACACGGGAGCAGACGAAGACGGCCCACTGCTACTCGACGGCACACTCGCCGCATTGGCAGTCGATATCGCCTCTTCCGTCGCCCCCTCCCCGTCCCCGGTGGACAGCTTCTCTGAAGGCCGCATCTCAAGCATCTCACCGGCGCGCTCCACACTCAGGGTCTCAGCACGCGATGCAGACCGGGGTATGGGTTCGACTGTGTGCCGGTGTGCGAACGACTGGATGAGGCGTGTGAGGGGGTTGGCGGCCGCGAAGCTGCGATACGCTGCCATCTGGGCTGGCGACGGGGAGAACGGGGCACCACCACCACTCGTCGCCGGCTGTGGTTGTGGCGCAGTCGTCACGCCACCACTACCGCCCCGAGTGCTCTCGGCGATTTCTGCCGCCTCCGCCTTCAAGGTGCCGTCAGCGTTGATTTCGGGCCGCCGTCCGTTGCGGAACTCATACACATGCCGACCAGACGACGTCGGCGACTGAGACGACGACACACCAGCGCTCGCTGCGGCAGATGCAGGTGGGTTCTGAGAGGTGGGGGCGGGCAGAGAGGGCAAGGAGGGGCCAGACTGCTGGGGAGGGAGGGGAGACGCGGTGGGGGGTGGGGCGGGGGCTGCTGCTGGCGGGATGAAGGGGAGGGATGGGAGAGGCGCTGCTGCTGCTGCTGCTGGTGCAGCGGGGAGAGTGGGGGCGGATGTCTGTTCGTTGAGCTTGCGTTGGAGGAAGAGTGCGAGGGCCCCCATGCCCTTCTCCTCAAACCCTAGATCGGCGCGAGACTCGGCACTCTGCATCCACACACACACACAGCAATGAGACTCTCTCTCGCTTCCATGCGCTCAGCCACTGCGTGTGTGTGTGTGTGTGTGTGCGCACCTGGTTGTAGTTGGTATTGACGTTGACATCGATGAGAAGCGGCGGCCGCGAGGGGTCGGTGGGGTCCCGCACGAACTCCATGGCGCACGTGCCGATGTTCTTGGCCCGCAGCATCTGCTGGATCTTGCCGATGAACGGGTGGCTGGCCCAGTAGGCAAACTCGTCGGCGTTGCTGGTGTCGTTGAGGATGGTGAAGTGCTGGTCGTGGGCCTTGCTCTCCTGCGTGCTGCTCGCGTTGAGGTCGTCCACCTGCGCGTCCTGCGTGTTGTCGCACGGCCGCAGCTGCGCGTGGCTTAGGTGGGTGGCGGGGCAGAAACCGGCGAACACCAGGCCCTTGTTCTCAGCACCACCAGCACTCCCACCCCATGTGTCTTTGGTGCTGCTGTGGGCGATCTTGCCGCTGGCATCGTCCCCCTCGGTGGCCATGACGATGGCGTCGTCACAGTCGCCGCCCTGTGTGTTGCTGCTGGCCGTGATTGGCTGCGAGAGGGGAGAGGGGGCGGCAGCTGCTGGCACTGGTGGTGCTGATGGCGAGCTGGTGTCGGCAGTCTGCTGGAGGTCGACGTTGATTTTCAGGCAGTAGAGGAGTTTGTTGTCGATGAACTCGAGCCGAGTGATGTGCGACACGGCAACGTACTCCTGGACCTGCAGACAGACACACAGATGCACACGACACAAAGTCAAAGCATGAGGGCGAGGATTGCTCATGCATGTGTGTAGAGCATACCAGCAGTATGCCGTCGATGGGCGGCTCGTACGTGGGCGACGCGAGGTAGTCCTCCAACTCAAACACGGAACCAAACAAACGCACACCTGAACACAACACAACACAACACGTCAGCAGTAGGCAATGCAGCCTGTGTGTGTGTGTGTGTATGTGTCGTTTCCCTCGTGCCCTACCTAGGCCGCTGCCCGATCGGTTGTGTTTGAGCACAAAGGGCGAATACAACGGGAAATCGCTACCAACGAAGTACTCTGACACACACATCACCAAGCACCACATGAGCAGACCATCCACCACACCCCGCACCAGCCATGCCTCGCTCTTTCTCTCTCACCTCTGATGGTCCTGCGCTCGTCCGCCTGGCTGGCCTTGCCGACTGCCAGGTTGTCGACGGGCACGATGATGGTCTTGGGCGAGGGGATCCCCACACTGTGGAACAGCGTGATCTGGTTGGCCTTGTTGATCTCCAGAGCCAGCGCACGGCTGCCGTTGATGACGGTCCGGTTGTAGGACTCCAGCCACTCCAGCAACACGCCACAGTACTCGCAGGAATATCGATGCTGACAGGCAAAACAAACAGGACACACAAATGATTGATGCATCCATCTCAATGCGTGTGGTGCCACCTCACCCCTCGAGTGTGCGATGAGGCCGACATGCGGTTATAGAAGACGCCCTCAGGGGGCGGCTGGGTGAAGTCGATCACATTCAGGATGCTCTCGCTCGACGACGATGCCGAAGATGAGGATGCCGACCCGCCGTTGAGCACGCTCTCCTCGCGTGTGGCGATGAGCCGCTTGCTGTTGGGGTGGCCGCCCAGCGACTGCGGCAGTGTGTGCGCCAGGTTCCAGTCGACAAACGGCTGGTTGAGCTCCCGGAAGCTCTCACGCAACGGATACAGCCACTCCTCATTCTGACACACACACACAGAGGGAGACACGGATATCCCGAGACAAGGCGCCACAGCCTGCGTGTGTGCGCTGCCCTCATCTGCCCTCGCCCGCACCTCGTGTATGACGTATATCTTGGGTGTCTGTGCAGAGGCATCCGAAGACCCCCCAGCAGGCAGAGCGGCACTGGCCATCGTCAGCGCCATCGATGAAGGCTCGCTCTGGAGGTTGAGAAGCCTCGGCGGCCACTGGGCACTCCCAATGGGGGTGTGGGTGAGAGCGAACTCCTCAAGAGAAGCTGCTGAATCAGCGTCGAATGAGACGGGAAATCGCTTCGATGCCAGCGAAGGCTATGACACGATGTGTTTGAGCCTCGTCCTGGTCTTCATTAAGAGTCCTCCTCTCCTCACTTTCGTTTTCTTCCTTCCTCTCTGGGAGGAGCTCCTCTGCGTGTTAGGGCCACGGATCGCGAGGAGCCGTGAAATGCGTCAAAACTGGCTATCGCAAAAAGAATTTGCACAAAGAGCAATTCTTGCGACGTCTGACGTTCGCAGGGAAGTGAAGTGGTTGGTGAGGTTGTTGAGATAGCTCTGGTGGTTATTCCTGCTGTCCAAGGTGTTCCTACTCGCCGCCTGCTGAAGACCGCGTTCTGTCCCTGTTGATGGCCTCGTGATTGGTGTTTGCTCATCAGTATGACATCGAAGGGCACCTGGGTGTGGAACAAGAAGTTCGCGCAGGACCACCACAGGAACCACTAGACCCACCGACTTCCAGCCGACTGGGAGGCACTCGTTGCCATCCCATCTCGTCTTTGTTTCCGTGCTAGTGCTATCTGTTGCTGCTGCCGACGTCCTGGTGATCATTTTTGGTTGACAAGAAGGACGCGACCGATTTGACTGAGAAGGAGAAGGCGATTTTGCTGTGAGTGCGCGAGTCAAGACCGACTTCGCTTCGAGCAGGGCCATCAAGCATGCCGGCCATCTACTACGACGACTCGTCTCGCAACGACCCGAGCAGCCCCAGCCCCCCCTCACCCCTCCCCGCCATCCCACACGCCCACTCCTACCCCCTCTTCAACAACACACACGACCGACCAACCACCTCGCCCAGCTGCGTCGAGCTCCCCGCGCTTGCCGATTTCGGCACTGATGGTGAGGTGATCCCTGTGATCGACTTCTCGCAGCTGGCGAGCAGCGAGAGGGAGCAGCGCAAGCTGTTCCACGCCGTGACGGAGGTGGGGTTCTTCCAGCTGGTGCACCACCCCATCACTCAGGAGATGATTGAGGGCGTGCAGGGGGAGGCCGCGGCCTTCTTTGGGCAGGCCATGGGGGCCAAGACGGGGCTGGCTCTGTCGAATGAGAGGGGCCACGGCGTGCGGGGGTACTTTGGGACGTTTAGTGAGAATTTGGATCAGTACCAGCAGGAGAAGGACTACAAGGGCGACATCAAAGAGGGATTCGACCTGGTAAGCCCGACACACACAAGCGCTGACTCTTCGTGACCCATCCATTTGCCATCCATGGGTGGCTGTGTGTGATGTGCGCATTGTTCAGGGTCTGGAGCAGGCCCTGAGCGACCTGACCGACCCAGAGCACAACTACACCCACACCACCAAGTCCGGCACGGCCTCCCCCTCCCCCTCCCC